GTTAGTTTGAACGGCAGAGTTCCATACGCTATAGTTCCAGAAGAGCGAGAACTTTGGAATCTTTGGCATCACTATACGAGGTAAGTTTGAAATATTCAATTATAAAATATTTCAAGGAAACCTTTTTTAATAAGCTATATATACAAATACACAAAGACAAAATAGTTTTCGATTCTGTTTGTAATTCGACGTTCTTTTTTAATTTTTGTTTAGTAGCTTCAGTATTTTTTGAAAATAGTATTTTTTTCCAACCTTTTACTTATATATGAAATCCATTGATCCACAGTTATGAATTATGATTTTTATAGATCTTTTTCAATATTTTTCTAGATTTTCTAGATTTTTCTAGATTTTCTTGATTTTCTAGATTTTTTAGATTTTTCTAGATTTTCTAGATTTTTCTAGATTTTTCTAGATTTTTCTAGATTTTTCTAGATTTTTCTAGATTTTCTAGATTTTTCTAAATTTTCCAGATTTTTCTAGATTTTTCCAGATTTTTCCAGATTTTTCCAAATTTTTCTAGATTTTTTTCTAGATTTTTCTAGATTTTTTCTAGATTTTTCTAGATTTTTCTAGATTTTTCTAGATTTTTCTAGATTTTTCTAGATTTTTCTAGATTTTTCTAGATTTTTCTAGATTTTTCTAGATTTTATAGATTTTTTCTAGATTTTCTAGATTTTTCTAAATTTTTCAGATTTTTCTAGATTTTTCTAGATTTTTCTAGATTTTTTTAGATTTTTCTAGATTTTTCTAGATTTTTCTAGATTTTTCTAGATTTTCTAGATTTCTCTAGATTTTTCTAGATTTTTCTAGATTTTTCTAGATTTTTCTAGATTTTTCTAGATTTTTTCTAGATTTTCTAGATTTTTCTAGATTTTTCTAGATTTTTCTAGATTTTTCTAGATTTTTATAGATCAGATTTTTGTAGATTTTTATAGATTTTGATAGATTTTTATAGATTTTTATAGATTTTTATAGATTTTTATAGATTTTTATAGATTTTTATAGATTTTTATAGATTTTTATAGATTTTTATAGATTTTTATAGATTTTTATAGATTTTTATAGATTTTTATAGATTTTTATAGATTTTTATAGATTTTTATAGATTTTTATAGATTTTTATAGATTTTTATAGATTTTTATAGATTACTTCCCCCCTTCCTTCCATCTTTCCCTCTCTTCCTCTGCCACGTCTAAGTTTTCATTCAACAAAATTTATTAGGATGCTTTATTTTTTCTAAAACCAGTGCGCATTAAGTAGTTTTTTATTTAACAAATTTCTATTAGGATAATATATTTTTTCTACGACCAATGCTAATAAACATTTTCATTCAACAAAATTCTTTATTTTTTCTAAGACTAGTACGCATCATTAGGCAAAATTACTAGCTTACAATATTTTTTCAATGACCAATGCTAATGTAAATTTTTCTTTCAAAAAAACTCTGATACTAGATTTTTTCTAAGACCAATGTCATGTAAGTTTCATTCAACAAAATCTACAAGGATACTTTATTTTTGCTAAGACCAGTACCAATAATGTAGGTTTTCATTAAAAAATCTCTACTAGGATAATGTATTTTTTCTACGACCCATGCTAATATAAATTTTTCATTCTACAAACTCTAATACTAGATTTTTTCTAAGACCAATGTCATGTAAGTTTTATTCAAAAAAAATCTACAAGGATAGTATATTTTTTCTAAGACCAATACCAATAATGTAGGTTTTCATTTAACAAATCTCTATTAGGATAATATATTTTTTCTACGACCCATGCTAATATAAATTTTTCATTCAACAAACTCTAATACTAGATTTTTTCTAAGACCAATGTCACGTAAGTTTCATTCAAAAAAATCTACAAGGATACTATATTTTTTCTAAGACCAATACCACTAATGTAGGTTTTTATTTAACAAATCTCTATTAGGATAATATATTTTTTGTATGACCCATGCTAATGTAAATGTTTCATTCAACAAATTCTGATACTAGATTTTTTTTCTAAGACCAATGTCTTGTAGGTTTCATTCAAAAAATATCTACAAGGATACTATATTTTTTCTACGACCAATACCAATAATGTAGGTTTTCATTTAATAAATCTCTATTAGGATAATATATTTTTTCTACGACCCATGCTTATATAAATTTTTCATTCAACAATCTCTAATACTAGATTTTTTCTAAGACCAATGTCACGTAAGTTTCATTCAAAAAAAATCTACAAGGATACTATATTTCTTCTGAGACCAATATCACCAATGTAGGTTTTCATTTAACAAATCTCTATTACGATAATATATTTTTTCTACTACCCATGCTAATGTAAATTTTTCGTCCAAAAAACTCTGATACTATATTTTTTCTAAGACCAATTTCATGTAAGTTTCATTTAACAAAATCTACAAGGATACTATATTTTTTCTACAACCAATGCCAATAAACGTAAATTTTCCTTCAACCAAATTTATTAAAATGCTCATCATGTAAATTTTCATTAGACTAAATTACTAAGTTACAATATTTTTTCTACGACCAATGCTAATGTAAATTTTTTATTCAACAAACTCTAACTCATTTAACTAATTCGTTCAGGTTGCGGAACCTCGCTCTGCTCGTCCCGCAATTATCTACGCGTTACATAAAACAAGGCATTTTGTAACTAGTATATCTTTATTTTTTTTTATATAAATGTTTTATTTCTATTCTTAGGAGGAAGATCTCAAGAAGACATTAGAAGATAGCGCTAGCATGCAAAGAAGCTACGATAAATATATAGATCTAGTTATTCCGAATAACGATTTTGATACAACATTTATGCAGATCATTGAAGCCTTAGACACGCTTACCACCGAACACCAATGGGTTCCAGTCAATTGGATTTATTAGGATAAAACGGAATAGACACCATTAGTGCTAATCGTCTTCAAAATAATTGCAACGTACTATGATTATGATGAGGGAAGTATTTGAAATTTACGGAATATTAATAATAATGATTTTTAATATTTAAAATAGGTAAATTTTGTGTAACATTTTCATACATAAAAAAAGCAGCAATGTGTGTTTTTGTGTTAGTATTTGTACGTACCTCAAGAGTAAGGTGACCATTTTTTTCTGAAAATAAAACTGAAACCAGGACAATATGAATTTTAATTAAAACTTAGATATTAAAAAATGTTGCGTTTATTTAAACAAGAAATATGAAAAATTAAAATATAATTTTACAATATAAAACAAAAAACACAATAAACAACACATCTTATTTAGTTTGGTTTTTCATATACTTTTCTGAAGTAGGAATTGCTTTTAACAAAAATTCTTTTTCCTAAATATTTCCATAGAATTCCATACAGCTTGCATTTAAATTATTTTTGACTATCAACAAGGATTTCAAAGTTTTTACATTCAATTGGGTTTTTTCGCTAGGCCAGATATTGTTTAATAAAGAAAAAACCCGTTCGGTAGGTGCATTAGTTCCTGGCATACAGAGATAATACTCTACCAATTTGCCAATATTATTGTGGGAAACATCATTTTCATTAAAAGCTTTAAAAATTTCAATCCACCTGCAAGGCCGTAGCCAGAAAATAATTTCGGGGGGGGGGAGGGGGGTTGAACAGCTGAAATTTTAATAAAAGAAATAAAATGGTGTTGCTTATTATATACGAGGTAAGCGCCAATAATTCCCGGCCTGACAATGAAAGAGGCAAAGTACAACAAGTTTTTATTATTTTTCAATGTAATCTCTTTTAACCTCAATGCACTTCTTACAACGTTTAATTAACAATTCAATCCCTTTAAAAATATATTCTTTCGGTTTATCCTCAAAATGGGCCAAAGCAGCTTCTTGTAACTCAAAATCGTCCCGAAAACGTCGCCCGCGAAGGTCCTTTTTCAAATAACTAAACAAATAATAATCGCTGGGAGCCATATCTGGACTATAAGGAGGGTGATCTATATTTTGAAACCCGCAATCTAGGATGGCAGCTTGTGTAACGCCAGCAGTATGAACGGGCGCATTGTCGTGCAACAACCGCACGCCTCTGGTTAATTTTCCTCGACGTTTTCCCGAATAAATTCCCGCAACTTATGAAGTAATGCGGCATAATATGTGCCATTAACGGTGGTATTTGTCTTTTTAAAATCAATCAGAAGGATTCCTTCACAATCTCAAAAGATCGTAGCCATCACCTGTTTCGTTGATTGGCAGACTCTAAATTTTCGTGGGGGGGCTTCACCCTTACGGCGCTACTCCATTGATTCCCTTTTCGACAGAGGATCATAATAAAAAACAATAGTTTCATCTCCAGTGACTATTGTTTCCAACACGGGGTTCGGATCATCTCCACACAGTTCCAAAAACGATCGAGCACACTCGACACGACGTTGCTTCTGAATCGCCAAAAGGTGTTTGGGCACCCATCTTGCACTAACCTTATGCATACCCAAATGATCATGGAGGATTCGGTGAAAAGTGGTATCAGAAAGCTTGGTCATTTCTGCCATTTCCTTGACCTTCAAACGTCGGTCACTTAGCACCAGGTTTTCCACAAGGGCCACTTTGTCCTCCGTTATCACCTCCACTGGCCGTCCAGGTCTTTCGTCATCTTCAAGGGATTCCTGACCCATGCGAAAACGTTTTGCCCATTCCTTCACTATCGAATAGGAAGGGGAACTTTGGCCATATACGCCATCGAGTCTTTCTTTAATAATTTTAGGTGTAAGCCCTTCTTTTGTTAAAAATTTAATAACCGCTGTGTACTCAATTTTCGTCACCTGAGACATTTTCGAAGATAGTTCAAAATGTTGACAATTAAAAACTATTTGACGTAAGTCGCTTATTTTGTTACCACAGCCTACTAAGGTTTGTAGTTATAAAATGTTAAACTTTTATCCTGATAAAATATCTGCAACTATGTCAGGCCGGGAATTATTGGCGCTTACCTCGTATATTTATTAGAAAACCATTACAGAAATATAACATCTTATTACAAATTTAAATTTAGTCTTCTAGCTTTCTTTGCAGCGAACAAATCAATTACCTCAATTCTGCGGTGGATTGACATTAACGCCAAACCGTTTAGTCTTTCCTGGCCTGTGGAGTTTCTCAAATAAGTTTTGAGGCGTTTCATAGAAGAGAAAGTCCTCTCAGGAGTACATGTAGAAAGAGACGGTGCCGCCAAGATCTTTAAAAGTTTTAGATAATCACTACATTCTTGAATAAGTTGATATGTAGGTTTTATGTTTAGTGAAATCCAATTAAATCTCTCAATTCCCTCAAAATGGTCTTCCCATTCGTCCAGGTACTGAACGCACGTCCTGTAAAATTCCAGCATTTTTTCTTTGAAAACATTTGATTTAACTAAGCCTTCTTCTTCGTTCAGCTTTTTTAAATTTTGTCGGAACTTGCAGAGGAAGAAACACATTTGCTATCCTGTCAGCAATTTTAGTTTTAAGGGACCTTATAAATGATACTTGTTTCCAACATAGAAATATACTGTGAAACATTGACGACACATTATGGAGAAAGAAAAGCCAAGATTTGGTTTCAAGATTCTCAAAATAATTTTTAATAATTATCGGAATTTTTTCAGTAGATGCAAACGATTTTAATGCAGGAAATATTTCTAAAACGCGCTCTATAGCTGGTCGTAACGCTAAATATCGCGTAGCACTGTAATTCAAAAGTTTTTTATATTTTATGTCTACAAAATTAAAAAATTCTTTTAATTCACTGACGCGCACAGTATCTAAAAATAGGAGTAAATTTTGGTTTATTTTAAAACCAATTTTTTGTGTACTGATTTGGTTTAATGACTAACCAGGACTTATTCCCTGAAAACAGTACTGTACTGGTAAAATCAGTACGAATGGTCACCTTACTCAAGAGGGAAAATAAAATGAGGGTGATACTTCGAAAGCTGATGATTATTGAATAGATTGTATGATGAAGCTTTTAATAATAAATAGTATCGGTAAATTATTGTGGAGTTAGTACAAAAAAATTGTAAATATTTTGAAGATTAACTTATTATTACTGCCACTCAGAGTTGGACTAGCTCGCGATTTTTGCCTTAAAATCTGTTTCTTCAAAAAGCAGCTTTTGCTTTAGATTAGAGCCTACAATTTATTCTATTGACTTATGAAGTTGTAAAAAATTATTGACACATATACATTCGATTTAAAAAAAAAATAATGCACTTTTTATTTGTAAGTAGTATAATACTAACATTCAGGGGAATAAATTATTAAAAGTATTGGTATTACAAGAATACAAAACTGTATTTATGATGAAGACTAAATTAGTAAAATAAATAAATCACAATATTTGTAAATATTAACTTATACAGGGTGTGCCACCGGAATAAATACCTCGGCGTGTAGAGTCAAAACTATTTGATTGTTTTTAGGAGACTGTTACAAAAAATTATATTTTACGCATGGTGTATTTTCCACCATGATTTTACGCACCTATTAGCATCCCTAAAGTGTAACTTTTTTAGCCGCATTTACTTTACGGCCGCTTTTTATAAATACAATTCTCATATTTTTCGTTGTACAAATTTTATTACTTAACCATGGGTTTTTATTCGATCAATAAAAATTTGAAACAATTCTTGTATTTAAGCAAGGATTGGTCAAAATATTCGAAAAATCGTTTACTGTTTTTTTACAAAAATCGACAATTGTTTATTCGAATTATCGAAAATAATCGATTAATTCAATAATAAAGAATAATTTATTAATTGAATTATCGACTATAATTAATTAATAAAAAATAATCGACTATTATAAATAATCGAATATTTATTTTGATAATCGTCCAATCCTATCGAAAATTCTGTATTATTAAACGATCGATTGATTATTAATAATTGAATTAGATATTTACCAATAATCGATAAATTAATAACAATCGATTATAAGATTAAAAATCAATTAATCATATCGATATATGGATTACCTAATAATCTATAATCTGATTATTCGGAAATAATCAATTTAAGATTAATCGAAAATAGTCGATTATTTAAAAATAACTGATTAATCGAAAATATTGGATTTCTCGATTTATAGAATGGTTGAGAAATTGAATAGTCGAATAATCGATAAATAAAAAATCGAATTATTAAAACAAAAGATTAATCGAAAAATTCGATCAATCGAAAATAATCGATTAACCGAGAAAAATCGATTATTCGAAAATATTCAATTTATCGAAAATGTTCGATTAATTGAAAGAAATCGAGAAACTAAAATTAAATAATTAATCGAAAAAATTCGATTTATCGAAAAATTCTAATTATCGAAAATAATCGATTAATCGAAACAAATCGAACAATTATAAATATTATTTTTGATTTATGGATTAATCGAAAATAATTGAATAATCGAGAAAAATCAGTTAATCGAAAATAATGAATCTTTTGCATAATTGAATAATCTAAAACAATTAATAAAGCAAAAGTAGTCGATTAATCGAAAATAATCAAAGAATTGAATAATCGATTAATCAAAAATAATCTAATAATTCTAAATAAAAAATTAATCGAAAATAATCGATTTATCGAAAATAATCGATTGTTCGAAAATAATCGATTGTTCGAAAATAATCGATTAATCGAAAGAAATCGAGAAACTAAAAATAAATAATTAATCGAAAAAATTCGATTAATCGAAAATAATTAATGAATCGAGACAAATAGAATAATCTAAAATAATAAATCGTTCTATTAATCGAATAATCAGTTAAAGAATAATAATCGATTAATTGAAAATAATCGATTTATCTAAAAAATTGAATTATTGAAAATAATCGATTAATCGAAAGAAATCGAATAATTAAAAATAAAAATATTATTTGAGAATAATCGATTAGTCGAAAATAATTAATCAATCGAGAAAAATCGATTAATCGGAAATATTGGATCTTTTGAATAATTGAATAATAATAATAATAATAATAATAATAATTAATAATAATAATAATAATAATATCAATAAAGCAAAAGTAATCGATTGATCGAAAATAATGAGATAATCGAATTATCGATTAATAAAAAACAAAAATAAAAGATGAGAAAATTCTATTTAAAGATAATCGATTAATCGAGAAAAAATAATTAATCGGAAATAATGGATCTTTTGAATAATTGAATAATCTAAAACAAGCAATAAAGCAAAAGTAATCGATTAATCGAAAATAATCAAATAATCTAATTATAGATTAATAAAACATAATTAAAAATAAAAGATAATCGATTCGAAAACTATCGATTAATCAAAAGAAATCGAGTAAATAAAAATAAAAAAGTCTAGCATATTCAATTATTCGAAAATAATCGATAAATTGAGGAAAATCGATTAATCGGAAATAATTACTGAATAGAGAAAAATCGATTAATCGAAAATAGTGGATCTTTCAAAATAATCAATTAATTAATAATCGAATTATCGATTAATCAAAAATATTTGATGAATCAAGTTAATTCGAAAATAATCAATTGAATAATTAAAAATAAATGATTGATCGATGAATCGAAAATAATAATTGAATAAAAAATAATCGATTTATCGTAAATAATCGATTTATCAAAAGTAATCGAATATTTGAAAATAATCGACTATTCGAAATCAATCGATTAATTAAAAATAATTGATTAATAGAAAGTAATCAATTAATCGAAAGTAATCGATTAATCGAAAGTAATCGAATAATCGAAAATAATCGATTATTTGAAAGTAATCGATTAATCAAAAGTAATTGATTAATCGAAAATATTCAATTAATCGGAAATAATCAAATAATATAAAATAATCGATTAATCGATAATAATCGTTCAATTGAAAATAATCGATTGATCGAAAGTAATCGAATATTTAAAAATGAAAGAATAATCTAGAATATTCGATGAATCGAAAATAATCAATGAATTAAGAAAAATCGATAATAATCGAATAATCTAAAATAATCGATTAATTTAAAATAATCAATTTATCGAAAATAATCAATTAATCGAAAGAAATCGAAAAATTAAAAATAAGAATTTAATCGAGTAAATTCGATTAATCGAAAATAATGAATCGAAAATAATTTATTCTTCGATTAATTAAATAGTCTTAAACAATCAATAAAGCAAAATTAATCGATTAATCGAAAACAATCGAATTATCGATTAATTAAAAATAAATATTCGAGAAAATTCTATTAATCGAAAATAATCGATTAATTGAGTAAAATCGATTAATCGAGAATAATCGAAAAGATTCGATCTATCGAAAATAAAAGATTAATCGAGAATATTCAATGGATCGAAAATAATTGATGAATAAAAAATAATCGATTTATCGAAAATAATCGATCAATCGAAAATAATCGATTAATGCAAATAATCGATTAATGGAAAATAATTGATTTATCGAAAATAATCAATTAATGCAAATAATCGATTACTGGAAAATAATCGATTTATCGAAAATAATCAATTATTCAAAAATAATAGATGAATCTAAAAAATCGATGAATCGAAAATAATCAATTTATCGAAGGTAATCGAATATTTTAAAATAATCGATTAGTCGAAAGTAATCGATTAATCAAGAATAATCGAATAAATAAAAAAAAGATAAATCGAAAAGATTCTATTAATCAATGAGTCGAAAAACCCATTAATTGAAAATAATCGATTATCGAAGGTAATCTTATATTTAAAATTAATGAATTAATCGAAAATAATCGATTAATAAAAAATAATCAATTAATCGAAAGCAATTGAGAAATAAAAAATAAAAAATTCGAGAAAATTTGATTAGTCGAAAATAATGAATCGAGAAAAATAGATTAATGGAAAATAATGAATTTTTCGATTAAAATTGCATAGTCCAAAACAATCAATAAAACAAATATAATCGATTAATCGAAAATAATCGAATTATCGATTAATAAAAAATAATCGAATAATTAACAATAAAAGATTAATTGAGAAAATTCTATTAATCAAAAATAATCAATTAATTAAGGAAAATGGATTAATCGATAAATCGAAAAGTTTCGATCTCTCTAAAATAAAAGATTAATCGAGATTATTCGACGGATCCAAAATAATCGATTAATCGAAAATAATTAAGTAATCGAAAATAATCGAATTATCGATTAATCAAAAGTAATCGAATAATTAACAATAAAACATTAATCCAAAAATTCTATTAGTCGAGAAAAATCTATAAAGAAAAAACCGATCTATAAAAGATTAATCTAGAATATTCAACGGATCCACAATAATCGATTAATCGAAAATAATCAAATAATTAACAATAAAAGATTAATCGAGAAAATTTTATTAATCTAAAATAATCGATTAATTAAGAAAAATAGATTAATCGATAAATCGAAAAGATTCGATCTATCTAAAATAAAAGATTTATC